ACATTTAAATTCAACTGTGCAACATAAACATTGGTCTTCATTTCAACCATTGCAATCGGTTAAACTCAGCTTTCTTTGCTGGAAATAGTTTATGATTGTTAATACCAAGTATTCTTGATGGAGGATATGATTGTAATGTAACTGGAATGTAGGTCTTCTACCATTATTGGGACGATTTAGAGACAGCATTTTAATACTGGCCTTAATAAAACCATTGGACAGCCCTAGACAATTATCCATACCGTGGTTAAAAGTGTACTTCTATAAGCCCAGGTAATTAATTAATAGTCCGTGGCCTGGCAATCAAATAACAGTATTTATATAGGATAAGCTACTGTTATCGACATTTGAAATTACTGAATTGTTGCCAAATTACTGTTTTACAAAATGCAGATTCCATTTTTAGCCGAGCCATTAAAATGAGGATTTGCCAAAAAATTATTAATTGGCTATTAAAGAATATTATTTAATGATATACAACTTTTCACATTTTATAAATTATATGTTAGTTTTGCTATGGTCAAAGGTCCAAATCCAAATGTTCTTTTCTTTTGGTCTGTATGTAGTAATTTGCTAGAATCATTGACTTTATATAAAGTCAATGCTAGAATACTGTAGATGGTTTGTTAAGACCATAATATGCAAGCATTTTTGAAATCGTTTCCCCGTTTAACCAACTATTCCAAAAAATAAAAAAAATAATATGGTGCAACACAAATACACAACCCGATCACCTACTTATAACCTACACTTTACCTTCCTAATCTAACCTTACTTCAAAACACTTAATGTAGTCACGAATACTCATAAACCCCGACCTACCTTCCCCACATGCCTAAATTAGATCAGTGTTCACTGTTCAATCTGCGTTTTATTAATAAGTGTAATAACTTACTGTATCGTCGATGTAATTCAACATAATATAATCTGTGAGGTATTATCGGATTAAATATCGATTTCGATGCGGTTCGATATATCGCTTATTAAACCCTTATTTCTAACATTGACTGTTTCTAATCAGCTGGCAACACAAATAAGGTGCCCAAGAGTAAGTAGTCACTGCGATATGCTCCGCGCATTGAGAAAGTAGTTCCGTCTATTTTCGCAATTTGTAGTGAATTCCGTGCCTTAAAAAATGTTTTAACGGTATTTTCTTGTTTATTAAGATCACAGGAATGATTTAAAAACGTTTAAAAGAAAAGTCTAGAAAGTTCAGAAATACCTTATGATTCTCTTGTTTACATTTTTCTTGTAAACAAAAAACTGTCATATGGCTACTTTAGTCCCATAAGCCTAATGTTAAAAATTGGAAATTTTAAGTTCGTTTTAAATTGCAATAGCATTATCTAATTGAAATTTGTTTGTTTAAAAACCATCTCACTATTAGTCTAAGTAATTTTGTTAAGTTTGGCTGAAATGCGTTCAGCCGTTATTGAGTGATGTTTCTCTATTTGTTGCATTGAAGTTGATCCCAAAGAGCTTCGCTCGCTCCGCTCAATTAAAGTATATAACTGATTAAGGTACTTAAATAATTCCTAAATGATAAAAGCCTTCTATTTAACTCAAATAAAACAATCTATATTAAGTATAGATGTATTTACTCAAAACATATTTCTCTGATAATTTAGGTATAAAAGAGGTTAAGTTACCTTGATTCTGTCCAAGTAATCCTTAAGTCGTCATTAGTAAGACCGGTTTTGATGACTAATGGTATTTTATCATCGTTATGTAGACGACACTATTGTCCTGTTTAATGGCACAATGAGACAGTTGGAAATGCTACTAACTTACTTGAACAGCTTACATAAAAACAAAAGTTTACTCTCGAAACCGAAAGCAATAAAACACTGAATTTTCTAGACCTTAGTATCTCAAGATGTTCTGACAAAAACAAACTTGTTTTTAAAATCTATAGAAAACCTACAACCACACACCAGACCATCCATAATAGTTCACATCATCCACAAAACCAGAAATTGGCAGCTTATCACAGTTTTGTTAATAGATTACTATCAATCCCGATGTCTGAAGAAAACTAAAACGAAGAGGTCAATACCATTAAATATATTGCAATAGCTAACGGTTACAGGAGCAATATCATCGACAAACTAATCTTGAAACATAAGAACAAAAATAGCCGCATAAAAACAACCTTAGACAGACCGAAATACGTTTCTACCGAATTTGGCAGCTATCTCAACCATACATTATGCAGAGAGATGTCTAAAAACCAAGTTATCGTTTCATTTCTCATTGCAGCATAGTGTTACAGTAAATGTAACACCAAATGTTTGTCCATTGTTTCACAGTGTTACACTTTGTGTAACACCACATGTTTTATTTTTTTCCAACCAGACACACAGCGCTATTATTTCGGAACTGTTCCCCTGTAGTTCAACACATCACCACTAGATAGGGTATGTGGGTATTTGAGGGAAACCTATTTATTTATTGTGTTCAGAGACGTTCACATGTGATCGTGTTGGTGTTTACTGTTATCATTGATACTTTCATGATTATTGAGGTAAGATTATTACTGATTATACTTATTCTAAATGGAAAATGAACTTATGGTTTCGTTATACAATATAAAGTTGTTTTCCCATAATTTATTTAAGTTATACGTTGCTAGGTGATAGGTCAAAACAATTAAAAACAAGCATTTTTGCATTTGTCATAGTTCCGTGCAACATGGGGTCACAGAACTAGGGATGGTTCCGTGCAGCAAAGAGTTAAAACTTCGAATAAACTTTCATCAGTATTAAAAGATAAGAAAACAAACCGTGACGATCAAACAGAAAATTCAGGTGTATACAAACTGAATTGTGACAGTTGTCCAAGCTTTTATATTGGTCAGACTTCACGCCCATTTAAAACACGTTTTAAAGAACATCTCCCGAAACCATCTGTTAACCAACCTAACTCCGCATTTGCTGAACATTTGATTAATAACAACCATGAATATACAGATATCAACACCAATCTAGAAGTTCTACGATCCTATAAAGGAAGAGGAAGATTATTAGATACTATTGAGGAATACAAAATTTACAAGGCCGGCAAAAAACACCCCCAACACATCCTAAATGATAAATCCTCATTTGAATCAAATATAATTTATGAGACAGCTTTAAACATCGACGAAATATTATCAACAGCTGATAACTCGAGGGGGAAGGTGGGAAGAGGATGACACGGCGTCAGTCTAGACCTACACCCTGTACCCGCCGCTGTGTTGTAAATTAGTTGTGTGGCCATGCATTTTATCGTTTTTTGTTTGTGTACGTGTTATGTGTTACGTGTTTTTCAAGACTCATGACGACCTCCTAGGATCGATTTTTACGTCCAGCTTGACAATGATGCCATAGACATCGAAACCGGTCGCACTAATGACGACTTAAGGATTACTTGGACAGAATCAAGGTAACTTAACCTCTTGTATACATTCATGAAGTAATCCGGAAGGCAATATACAAGATGATAATTTAGTCTCGAAAACCAAAAGTTTAGGCCTATTAATAGATTATATACGCTTGTTTGGATCACATAAATCTAGATAGGATTTTTAAAATTAAAAATCTTTTGCTTTTTTTATTAAACCCATTATGCACTACAGAGATTTTGCGTACAGTTTACTTTGCACTCTCATATTTGTTACGGAATAAAGATTTATGGGGGAACAAGTAATTTTAACTGTAATCAAATTTTATATCTACAAATGAATGCTATAAGATGAAACCTTAACCTGGATTAATCCTGTGTAAATCTTTTCTGAAAAATAGGAAATGTATGAAAAATATAGGGAAAATAGGCACTACGACTTATTTGCGTTATGCACCACGAATATTATGTACACAAATGTCGAAACTTCGTACATACAGCTGAAGAAGTTAATACTAAATATTTTTCATAGTTTAGCAATTTTAAAACGTGAACTAATACTGTATTTCCGAAATGTTGTTGATGGATGACGGCAATTGCTAAAATACTGTGCGCGTAAACTAATTCATTTATACCTCGTGGTGGTCATCTAAGTCGATTATAGGACAAACTAAAAGTCTTACGAAAAAATGTTTGGAACAAAAATTGAAGAACATCTTATTATCTATACTTTTCTCGCTGAAAGTTTTCATCTGACCAAAAAATGAAAAAAATCCTCGCTCACTTATTTTTCCATGTTTATATTGAGCAACCTTTTTACATTTTCCATTATTAAAAATTAATCATCTGCACAAACTAAATTGTATTTATATCGTATTAAACATCAGTTTACGCAGAACTTAAATATGTTAATTTCATCCTGTCACAATTTGTATTACAATTTAGACGAACGTGCAAAGCGACAGGGAAAGGACCACTTCGAATAGTCTCGCCAACATCGGAAACTCTCTTCCAGCATGTGTGTGTGTGTGTAATGGGTGCGTGTGTATGCGTACGTTATCGTTTCCTGCACGGACTGTACCCATTGTCACTTGGAGTTATGAAACTTGGTGTTATGAACCCTTGGAGTTATGAAACTTGGACTTGTGGTCCTTGAAAATCTGTACGTTTGGAGTTATGAAATTTTGTATTTTAATTTACTTGGTTTTATTTTAACTTGGACTTATGAACCTTAGAGTTATGAACGCTTGGAGTTATGAAACTTGGTCTCATGATATTTTGGTTTTAATTTACTTGGACATAATTTCACTTGGAGTTATGAAATGTTGTATTTAAAAGTACTTGGAGTTATGAACCTCACCCTTCCTAGAGACCGTTGTATTTAACCACAACGGGCTATGTTGCTAGTTTTAAAATAATTTAAACATGTATTCATTTGTAAACAAGGATTATCAAGAATCAAGAAAATAAATTTATTTACCTCCTAATATGTTGTTATCAGTGGCCGAAGATGGGTTTTGATAAAAATCTGAAATATACCACTTTGTTTAGTAGTTGTGTTATTTGGTGATGAGTAACCTTCAAACAAAGAATAATAATAATTTCAACTTGTTTACCAGGGCTGGGTTTCCCAAACAACAAGCTGCTAACACAGTGCTGAGGTCCATCTCAAGTTACTTCTCTTCCACACTGTCTTCCTCTGTCAAACAGATATATTTTGTGCTCTGGGACATGGAGAGTATTGGTATATATACAGCAGAGCTGGCTAAGCTAGATTCATAGAATTGACTGTATTTAGTACTCAGCCAAAACTGGATTGTTATTTGTAAACTAACTGTGCATTTGGGATCATCAACCAATAAACTATCAACCAACTATCAAAGATGTTCTTTAAATATTCAGGGTGTTTGAATATCTCAAAACCGTAATATGGCAACAACACTTTGACTTAGTGGTTGAACTCTCAAAAATGATTAAAAAAGGTTGTCCTAAATGTAGTTAGGCTACTTCACAAATATTATTAGCTAAGTTGCCTTACCTAAATGGTAAATGGCGTTGATGATTTAAAATTAAAACCTTAATTTTTTTACTGATACACTTCTATGTCCTTGTAGAATTAGTAGAACAATGTAAGCTTTGAGTGAATTGCCATATACATTGTTGTATTCAAACTTTATAGTGAATTTAAATTGGTTAACAAGTATAATCCAGTCGTGGCAGATTCCAAGTGAGATCTTAGACTTGTAGGTCTGTTTAAAGGCCAGTACCACATGACCAATAGGATAATTACGTGTTAAGATTATGTTGTTTCAGTGAACTTAGTCATTTATGTGATTATGTCAAAGTATCAAGCTACCAATGCTCTAGGAAGGATCTGATAAAATCAATCAATATTATCGCTAGAATGTTAAAAGTAAATTACCAAAAAAGGAAGAAAAAACCATACAGATAACATGCAATATCTGTATATATGGCCCAGACTGTCTAGGCTGTAAATGGAGCTTACACAAAAGGTGCATATTTATATGCTAGACCTCATAGTGTTATTACACCCTTTCTCATGTGTTGAGGTACGGTACTCTAAATTCAGGTTAATTACAAATTGTTTATTCAAAGTTTGATACATCAATGAAGTAATAACAAAACTTCTTCCACCAAAGTGAGTAAAAGATAAAATCAAGCTGGTGTAATGTCTTCAGTCCTCAAGGTCTCGGGTTCAAATCCCACCAATCACCAATGGATTATCCAAGTGATAATGCCGCAACCTCTAGCCTAGTCCAAAGTAATGTGAAAAACAATCCCAGAAAAAAAGAGTTATGATAAGAATTAATGAATTAATTGCTCTTCTTTATGTGTGATTTAGAACCCAAATGAGAGTCTATATAAATAAAAAAATAATAAACCTAGACATCGAGTTGTTAACAGGGTGTCCAGCCAACCTGGAAAAGTGAAAACGAGAATAAATTTTTATTAGCAAAAAATCTCAGAATAATACATACATTTTGTAGATAAGTTGAAAATTTTAATTTTTGAATAGTAGCCTACCTGAAAAATCCGCCCGAAAACTCAGATTTTTCTTATTTTTTGTAGTTAATAATCACAATCAAGGGTGATCACAGATACATGACATGGTGAAGGTGTTGACATGACTACTGGATGTCGCGATCGCGCAAGAATTCGTCATTCGTTTAAACATGATTGCTAGAAATTATCACTGATTTTACTGCGATTGTGTGAGACTTGCAAGGTTACTGCAATTCTGTCTTGTTGGATGTTGCTGTGATTGTGAAAAATCATCAGGAATGTTGCAGGAAAACATACTGGATGTTACCATCACAAATTTTGCCGCGATGGAATGGTATGATCAACAATGTGGCTGCGATCACAAGCCCTAACTATCACAACACTTTCCAAAGGGTTTTTAATGTATCCTAACTAAGGAAATAAAACAAGATTTGCCAATTTTTTTAGAAGCAAGTTTTGTCCTGGAAATATAACTTTTTGAACCTGAAAATTCTGGAATTGTGCTTAAATTTTATTTTGATGAGTCGCTGGACACCCTGTTAGTATCTAGACTGAAAGCTGACATACAAAAATGAGGCAAAACTAGGTATATTTTGTGTTGAATGTTTTTTGCAATCAAAGATTTGCATGTCAACAATGTTAGAGCTTTTACATAACAAGAAACCACGCACAAGTTGTTATTCTAACTTAAGATTCAATCATTATAGAACATTAGGTGTGATGTAATGTTTGTAATTGGTAATTCATCATAATGTGATGTAGGAGAAAGGATATAGGAGGTACTGGTATTTGATGAAACTGATTAAACAATATGCACAATGTATACACTTTCATTGTCAGGAAACAGTACGCACAAGTAGATTCAAATCACGCACAAACCTACATAATATGCACAACATAACTAATTGTATTTTACATGTATCTGCTAGTTGAATCTCAAGGACAAGATGATAAATCTATCTTGGCTTCTAACAAACCTCAATAAGGAGGGAACTGTGAAAACAAGTCTACATTTATCATTTTATTTATTTAGAGTCTGTAGAGTAATCTGTGTTGCAATATTAAATGTGGTTTTATGTTGATTCCTCTTTGTATTGTTGGGAATAAATGTATTGATGTTAAAAATTACAGGCACGGAAATTATGATTTTGAAGTCTTAAATGTTTCATTTTACAAATATCATCATGTACAGGAGAACTAGTTAATGTTTTTACATTTTACAAATATATAGGCCTACAAGAGAACTAGTTAATAATTATTAGTGTGTACACATCATCATAGGGGCTTAGGAATAATTTGTTTAATGACTACTGTATAAAGATACATGATCATGCAAGTTGGAATTAGCCCACAGATAGTTCAGTTGTAGTCCGTAGTTGGTGCTAACAAAGAGCCGCCTGTCACCCTTTGGAATACCGCACAAAGCTAGTGCCACCCGAACGCACAATTTCGCACAAAATTGTTGATTTGCTAGTTTGATGAAATGTTACACTTTTCTCAGATCTCTACCGCTGTGCCTATTAGTGGTTTTTAAGTTAAATGCCTGTATAAGTTGGTCATAACATTTTAAAAGTAGAAAGATAATTTGTTTGAATGTTTTTTTATCCCTATTAAACTTCTAATCTAATTTTCCTATAAATTCAACATAATGTTAACAACTATTAGTTACAAGTAAACTATTTGCAACCTTGTACATTTAGGTTTGATGCAGATAGCTGTTGGACAAGGTTCTGAATTGCAGAAAGCAAGTTCTAAAATATCATGAATATTGCACTGGCGATTCTTTATTACGCTCTTTTTCTTTGCTGAAACTGTCAAAAGTGTCAAGCTTGTTACTATTTACTGGATGTTTTACTTTATTGTAGGATTGATACATTTGTTTGTAATATATAGTGGTTTTTTTTTTTTAATATTTATTTAATCTATTAAAGTAAATCATCTTACTATTTGAATCATACTAAAACATTCAGTCTAGTTATTTTAATTTTATATTTGAATTTATTTAACAACATTGTTGCTGACTTTTCCTAGCTACAAGAAAAATTATTACCTAATTAATAAATACTTAATTCATTTTCAAGAGTTCTGTGTCCTTTTGTAAAAAAATACCACAAATATTAGACAGTGATTTCTATATTAATTACTCATTGTTAATTACTCATTACAGCATTGTCTAGCAGATTTACCTGTCAATTATAACATACTAGCAGTTAACCTGAGATAAATTGCATAATATCTTAGAGCATTGGTGTTGATACTGGTTGTAGTTGTAAAGGCTTTATAATTTTCAACCTTACAACTACTGTATTTCATAAAAAAACATTCCTTAGAAAATTATTTGTTATTGTAATATGTTATGTTTTTGTTTTGTTCTGATAGTTCTATTACAAATACTGTTTATATAGACATTATATCGTTGGTATATGCTGGAAAAGTTAAGTGATCAATTAGGTATGCTAGATGTACTAGACCAAGGCCCCACTAGAAAAACAGGCCATGCTGAAGCACGTCATCGCAACACTACGTCACAGTGGTGGATAGTTGTACTAAACTCTTACCATTAAAATCTTACAAACAGCCAGCTTGTTTATTTAGCTAAAACTTATGGGAATGGCGATGACAATGAATTTATCAATGAAATCTATCCACTAGTGTGACGTCATGGATCCTGCAGCATGGCCTGTTTTTTCTAGTGGGGCCTTGACTAGACCCAACAATGGTATGAAACAGTTAATTACAATCTCATTAAAACATTTTTTGATTTTTATAGATTATAAAGTGAGTTAAATTTTTGTTTTATTTTACAACTTGTTGATTATGTAAAGAGTTTAATTCAATACAGTAGTTATGTTTTAATTTTTAATTGTTGGAGTTTTCCATGATTTGTTATACACATTTGGTGTTTTTTTTTGTGATTTGATAATTATTTTTGTTAAATTTTACATAGAGAAGTAAGGTTCAGAGGAAACTTGCTTATGGGAATACCGTGCACTTTCGGCTCTAGTTTGTTTTACACGCTACGGCCAATCTTCTTTTGATAAGCAATGAAGAGCCCAAGTTCGGAAGTTCCTATCGCACAGGACATAGGGTCTTCCTCCAGCATGAAAGTTGTACGTGAATGTGAAGGGGGAAGGAGTGCGAGGGGGGTTAGGAGATGTTGCAGTGTTGAACTTTACCCCAGTTACCAGTGACTAGTGTTAGACACCACTTAGGTGCACCATAAATTAAATGTTTCCTCTCTACCTTATTTTCCTGTGGTTCTTAGACTATAAACAAGTATTGAGCTTTTGGCTCAAAGGCTTTAAATACATTTTAGAAGAGATCTCTTTTGAAGTAGTCCAACATTTATTGGCTTCTGGGTTCCAGAATCTTGTGGCAAGCTTGTCCATTAAGGTACCTTTCTATTATAGACAAGTCAAGTACCTGGTAGGTTTTGAGTGGCAAGTTTGTCTCCTTGTCTGTAGCACATTTTAAAAATAATTTGAAACCATGAAAATCATTATCGTCAATTGGAAAAGCTAATCTATAGTACATGACAAGATGAGAAGTTTAATTCTACTGCATCATATTCTTTATCCATACCATACAAAAATGTTCATCCCAAATATGTCTTGTTCCAAGGTGCTACAGTTTGGCTTGTGCATTTTTGATATTTATACATATAAGATTTTTTTATAAGATATTTATACGGGAAAATTTTTATAAAATTATAATTGTAAATTCGTCATTTTAAGCACTTTGACGAAAAAACTGTTCTCATCTTCTTCATTTAGTATCAAAAATAAATAGGCTATAACATATTAATTTCGATACGAAAACAACAGTAAAATTATTTTATTTTGACATTTAGTATAAAAAATATATAATATATATATTTTTATGACAAGATTTTCATCATATGTTTGAATATATATTCTACTACATAAATGCCTCTTGCTCTTAAATTTTTTTAAGTCCAACTAAATGCCTTTCCTTTTAGTAACAAAATTATTAAGTGGTCCAGTAAGATCGGCCTATTTTTAAGATCCTCCTAAGTGGTCGATTTTGAAGACGCGCCGAATCTGCGTGAAAACACACTCCGTGTGGCATACCTCATTACATTTAATGCTGCCCATATTTCTCGCATTTTTTTACGCTGAATTCTTGCGTGAAAAAACGCCCGTGTGGCCGTAGCCTAAGAGTAAGCGTATGACTCCCTCAAATTCACCGGGGTGGCTCGGTGGCTGCCGCGAGGCTCGGGTTCCGTCATCGCCGCCGAGCTGTCAAACGTTGTTTGATATTATTTTGTGTTTTAAATGTCGTTTGTAAGTTTTTAATCGATACAACGATTGATATAGGCCAATTCATAATAAATAAGACATATTTTAGGCACATGTATCTGTCTGTCCTTTATTATTTTATTTTCATTCCAAAACATTAACTTATTTCTAGCGATAGTAAGGCCTCGCCGGGCAGGCCTAGCTGGGCAGGCCTCGCTGGGCAGGCCTCGCTGGGCAGGCCTCGCGCGAGGCCTTCTCCGGCGCGAGGCCTGGAGCGGCAGCTCCACTCGCTCCACCCTAAGGAAGGCGCTGCTTTGAACTAAATCAGTATATTGTCAGACTCGTAATAGTATACAATTTTAATATTTTTATTAGCATTTTGTTGCTTTTACATTTAAAGATGAGTTAGGTCAAATCAATTGACAGTCCTTGACAAACAATATGCTTTTTATTTGTTAAAATAAAATATAATTAGGAATACATTTACATTTCATATTTCTAAAATAAATCTTCTATATTATATATTCTATACTGTATATTCTATATTCTTTTACGCTACATGGAACTTTGTGAACAATAATGCTTTTTTGGTTTAAGATTTAAGATTTAACCCCACATATTATACCAAAATGTTCGTCTAGGTGTGTAGATTTGCAAACTGACCTTACATTTATGAAAAAGTCCCTTCGGCTCTGCCCGAGTGGCTTTTTAAGTTCCTATGTTTTCCTTATTATAGAACATATTTGTTTACATTATGATCAGCTGGATAATTTAATTTCTGTTAATATTTTAATTGCAATTTAAGGAAATGTGTGCTACAAACATTTACTGACTTGGTTGAAATGAAATATTTTCTATTTGAATTTGGGTTGGCGTAAATATTACAATGGAAAAAAGCAAGAAACACAATTTGACATATTTGATATACTAAAAAGATAACTGAATAAACACTGTGCTGCATTTCTTGAGCAATCATTGAAAGAGCCAATTTGCAAACTATGGAAACATAGGAAAGTCAAAGAACACCACCTAGTAAAATAAAATAAAATAATGTTTTTTCTTAATTTATAATCGTTATTATGGACAACCTAATGCGGATATGAGTGGGAAATATTTGTAGAAAACACTAAAAAAAGCTTTTGAAAAATGATAAGATTTTTACAAGAAATGTTGATTATATAGATCTGTTATGTACATTGTGATTATTTCCATAATCTTTTTTATCAACTCTTTTAAAGACATCGGAAGCGATTACTGATATTCGTTTTAAATTAACACCTGTAATGTAATACTTCGCAATTGCTCTAACTCGAGCAACCGGTACTCTAGTCAATATTAAAACTTAAAAAAATAGTATGTAAATTTGTTATTATATGATTGAGTTCTCTGCTACATAACATCTGCGAGACCCAGGGCTATGTTGGACCACTTGTGAGTTGAGCGTTGTAAGTTGGTGGCTTTAGTGACTGCACAATATCCTCTTTGCACATTGTGATTGTGATGTTTCTACTGTGTGTCTTGTAGTTGATTTATACATTGATTAAACTACAATAGATGTTGAAAAATTTTGTTTCTATACTTTTTGCCTTGTTTAACCAATACAGGACTACCTGTTTGGTTTCTGAAGGAAACAAGCTTTACTTGATCAAAACGCAAGTGGGTTTTATGGGGGATTTTGTGGGGTAAAAATTGGATTTCCTCATTTTTGACCCCCAAAACATAAAATGTAGCAATTTATTTCTAAAACTTTTTCTAACGCTTAGAAAACAATAAGTTATTTGTGTAACTAGTGTGCGAAGTGGCACTTTGCTGCACATGATAGAAATGTTTGCGCACGAGACGCAGGCGAGTATGGAAAGTTTCTCGAGTGCAGCAAAAGAAACTTTGCTCAGGCGTTACACATTTTCTTTTCCTACTATAAGGCATAATAATAATAAGTCTTTCAAACACTAAACAACACATTTTTGGTTAGGTTAAATCCAAGCATTGAACAAAATGGAAAACGCTGCACCAGCTGATTGTACTCGTAGTATCTTCTAGTGTCACCAACTTATTTCCAACTGTACAAGTACTACGTGCCTAATAAAGGCACACTTTTTTTGTTGTTTGGTTAGAATACTGGAGTGCTGAAAAAAATGAGTGTGACAAAAGTAAGTAAATGCAGCAATTAGCTACTCTGCATGCTATAATCAGCACAAGAAAGCCCGCTTTGCCAGGTAACTGTAGAAAAAAAAATAGTATGCGTTTTTGCACATCTAATAGTTAAATAGACAAATAAAAAAAAACTATCAATTTGAAAATTCTATGGTTTTCTTATGCAGAATAAATAAACTGTTGTAGTTTGCTTGTTTTTTATGGATATATTTTTATCAAATTTGGTAAATTTGTTAATCTCCTACTGAGCTATTGATGAAATAAGTTGCTGCCTTCCAGTTGTAGCAGCAAACCTATGTACCATAATGTAACATATAAGTTGATGTTTTTTAAATACCTAGTGGATAAATCTGAAAATTTTAAAGAAAAAAAAATCTAACTAAGCAATTGGAAATATGCTTAGTCTGCAGTTTTCCTTTGATGGGGTTATTAATTATTTAATTTAATCATCCGGTTCACTGCAAACTTGCCTACATTAAATAAATAAGATTCTGTGATAAGCCAAGTGTACGGGCAGGAATTGTACGCCTTTTTGTCGATGAGCAGCAGGGGGTACAGTTACAGGGGGGTACAATTCCAGCGACCTGAAGATAACAATATAATAGGACTCCACGGTACTTGCCCTAGCTCTTTTATGAGAGGCCGTCAAAGCACTTTCCTTGAGGCCCAGCCAAGCGAAAGTACCCGTGGCACAACACACACGCACGCACACGGCACAGACATACTGCAGTCTGTTAAATTTCACTTGCTAAATTCATAGTTAGCTATATGTACATGGAGATAAAAAAAAATTCTAAATATATGACGGCCAATTTCTAGCAGCCATTTCTCAATAACTTTTTTGTATGTACGCATGTAGAAGGAGATTTAATATTTTTAGTGGAATTTGCGAGTAAATGATATTCGCAAGATATAAAGAAGAAGTGCTATTTATTGACTTCGTTAATCTATGGGTAGTAAATCCATGATTAGTTGTTGATCTGGCATGGTATTGATGTGTAATGTGTAGGAACATAAAGTTTTTTTTTAATGAATATATAAAATAATAATTTTTGTGATCTGTTGGGGTATATTTAGAACTTGAAATTCAACAAACAAAAGATCTGAGCGATAACGTTGATTGTTGTTGAGTGCTATCTTAGTTATAGACTTTTGAACTATTTAAAGTGGAGTTAAAACAGTCTGATAAAATCCACCACAAGCTAAAATTCCATATTGAAATAATGATTGTACATAGTCGCAATACACAGTTTTAATCTAGTCTGGGGGAAGTATTTTGTTGATATGTGACTAGGTAGATACTTTCACAGGTTATATCTTACATAAATATATGGCAATTCCATTTTGGTTATCAAAAATGATTGTATTGAAGAGGGATCGACTCATGGTCCAAGCACGTCAACCGAAGCTTATTGTGCATCCCACTTGCCACTAACTGGATAAGCCAATGCCTGTGGCCTTGACTAGGTGCAGGAGCTTTTGCCCAATGTTAGCGTCTGGTTCATTACCTGGCTGCTTTAGACCAAACAGACCCTTCTCCTAGCCCCTAGTCTGTCGCAGTCCAAAATAATGTGTTTTGCAGTCTCATCGGACAGGTTGCAAAGTCGACACTCCTGCTTGTCATTGACAATTCCTAGATTGTGAAGATGTTTCCTGAAATGTCAAGCACAGGACACACAGCCAAAGTCTTAGCAATGGCGTAGTGGCCTGCCCCTGACAGGCCTTCCCTCCACAGATTTGCAACCCTCAGATGGTAAGCTGCCTTAAGGGCTTCAAATTTGATGTCCAGAGGTAGCAGCCCTAGACCAACTTCTAGAGTAGCTGATGGACTGCTCCTGAAGGCTCCAGTGGCCTGTAGCGTGCCGAGCCTTTTTCATGATTTCTAGTTTGGCTATGACAGTTACCTGATTCACCTTTGTCCACCAGACTAGTGAACCATAGGTAATCTGAGGCCTGACCACAGCCTCATATAGCAAGATATGTGGGGTTTAATTCCCCAAGGTGGTTCCTGCAAATCTCCTGAAACTGAAATAAAACGGATGCTGGGGCTCAACACGCCAACCAGCTACACCGGGCTCAACACGCCTCTAGTGCCGGAACGGAATGTACCCGGCTCAACACGCCTCTAGTACGGAAACGGAATGTACCGGGCTCAACATGCCTCTAGTACGGGAACTGAATGCACCGAGCTCAACACGCCTCTAGTGCGGGGGACTGGATGCACCGAGCTCAACACGTCTCTAGTGCTGGGGAACGGGATGCACCGAGCTCAACACGCCTCTAGTGCGGGGGACTGGATGCACCGAGCTCAACACGCCTCTAGTGCTGGGGAACGGGAAGCACCGAGCTAAGCTTCAATCTTAGTTAAATCCCGATCTTCACTACTAATCATACAATTTGCGTGCATAACAATGCCTTAAAATCTTTAAAATTGACTACCAAACACCCTGTATATGAGGATGTGCATAAAAAGTGTCAGTGCAATGAAAGATAACAAAGTCAAGTTACTGATTGATGGGAACAGGAGACATTATTAAAATTGAATATCAAAACTTGGGAGATACATCAGAGAATTTTGTGAAACTTTGTAAACACTCAATCTGTGATGGAATCACATATTGTCTAAAGTTTTACTGCAAAAAGTTTGTTACTTGGGACACATTATCTGACAATATTTTGGTTGTAAATCTTAATAAACGATATCATGAGTTAAATGTTGTAAACAAACAGAAAAAAAACATAATGAAAAAGCACATTCACCAATTTAGACAATGTTTCCCAACCGTTTCCTTTGGCTTTCAAATACAGTACCTGAGTTACCAGTCTCCAGTCTCCAGTATTTTTTTTTTTTAATTTTGCTCATTTTACTTGAGTGCTCTTGCTTACAGTCAGTCACTTAATACGTTAATTATATCATCCTTGAGCTAACTACTTATTGTTTACTATAATTTAGTTAAAAACTTGCCTTGAACGAATGCTGACATTTAATATTCTTTGTTAGAACATACCATTTCAGTGGCCTCTGCTAGCATACCAGTACCACAGGTTACAAAACACTGTACTGAGAAACTTTACTTTACGTACTATGATAAAACGTATAAAAAGATGGATGTTACGTAGGTAAAAAAAACCACGAAGAAGAAACCATAAATATAATATTTAATAAGCTATACATAAACATAAAAGAATGGAAATTGTATTAATTAAGTCCACAGTCGGGACTGATTGAGCCAGCCACATGCAGTTGGAGCACAACAAGTACGTTGGGACTCCTGAAACAGAGTGTCTCATTAACAACTACAGCAAATTAACAAATACCCCCGCCACAGCAAACCGGTAGACTAAGCAAATTTTCATTTACCTAGATGGATAGACACTAAAATATTCCCTTAAAATTGTCAGATTTAATTCCTATTTAAATAACATTAATTTTAATGAGTACTTAGGTTTGCTCCTACAGGGGAGGTTATAAAGAGTTTTTTCATATTGAAATGTTGATTGTTTATTATGAAATAAACAAAATTGCCATATTTGATTAAAGTTGATTCAAAAAGGACTTTACAACTTTTAAAATTCATATAAATCTTATTAAACAAGGTACAGAGCTGGTTTTGGTGTTGTTTTAAAGGAAAACACTTACAGTTTTTTTACCTTAAACTAAAGATGTTCTATGTGACTTCCGTTGGATTTGGGGAAAATAATTATTTAGGTATGAAAAAATAGTGAAAACCGTAAAAAAATTGAGAGAAATTTAAAAAATTATGAAAGGAGGGCGTTTTTTGACGGTGAAGGAGTGCGATTTTCGAAAAACGCACAATTAGTGTCTTGTAGGAAATTTAATTCCAAACCTACGTTTTTTCCTCAAATCTTTTATAGCTCTCACCGTTTTCAAGCTATAGCCGTTTGAAAAAAACGTGTTTTGTCGTTTTCAAAGGTACGCCATTTTGGATTTTTGGGGGGGTTAAAATTTGAAAATGCGACTTTTTGGAATTTTATGGGTGGTTTGGATCTAGAAGTGGGTGTATCACACTCCTTCACCGTCAAAAAACGTCCTACTTTAAACATTTTGTAAATTTCTCTCACATTTTTAACGGTTTTCACTATTTTTTCATACCTAAATAATTATTTTCCCCAAATCCAACGGAAGTCACATAGAACATCTTTAGTTTAAGGTAAAAAAAAACTTTAAGTGTTTTCCTTTTAAACAACACCAAAACCAGCTGTACAGAGCTTGTTTAATAAGATTTATATGAATTTTCAAAGTTGTAAAGTCCTTTTTGAATCACCCTGTATAACCATAAACAAGCACACTACAAAAGTTTATTTATTTCACATAAGAATAAACATTAGAATTTTAAATTGACACATTTTAGCGAATTTCCCATATAGGGAATAAGCTATTACCGTAGTACTCATGGTAAGACCTGGACGCGGGACCGATTTTTTTTTTCGTTTCGAGGTCCCTAGAGACCAAAAACACCATCCGTTCAAATTCATATATATATATATATATATATATATATATTTATATATTTATATATTTATATATTTATATATTTATATATTTTATTTTGTATTTGATATTAAACAATTCAGAAGAAACTCATTTTTCATCAGAAAAAGAAAAATTGAATTTGTCAAAGGGGAAGATGTTTAGATAGTTAATATTCTATGCTTTTAAAATAACATATGATTCTTCAGGTTTAACTTACATCTGTTTACAAATAAGTTGTTGTTATGTTTTTGAGAATAGAAACTTTTACTGTTACTAAAAAATGTCTCCTTTATTTAAAACTAATTAATAAAAACTATATAAAATTCTCGTGTCACAGTGTTTGTCTGCAAACTCCTCCGGAACGACTTCACCGATCGTTATGAAATTTAGTGTGTAAATTCTGTAGGTATGCGAATCGGACGTAAACTATTTCCCCTTTCGAAATTCTTAAAAGGGCTCCGCCCCAGTGGCTCTGGAGTTTCCCATGTTGACCTTATGAGAAATGGAATTAATGAATCTTAACAGCTGTTTCAATTAAACAAGTTGGTTCTGTTCTATGATGTTCAATAGCATTAAAGTTACAAGGATTACCAACAGGGTGCAGCACTATTATTTCTTTTACATTTATGACAACAGCTAATTTGCAACCAAAAGGTGAGTGAGCGTAGCGAACGAGCTTCAACCTGGAGGCGAGTTAGCGTAGCGAACGAGCTAACCTGAAGGCAAGTGAGCGCAGCGAACGAGCTCCAACCTAAAGGTGAGTGAGCGTAGCGAACGAGCTCCAACCCAAAGGTGAGTGAGCGTAGCGAACGAACTTCAACCAGGACGTGATTGAGCGATGCGAACGAGATCATCTTGAAAATTAAACGTAACGGTACTTTCTTTCCATCGGTCTGTCTTAGGGGAGACCTATAACTTAGGCGATACGAAGTTCACCGGGTCAGCTAGTTTATATATATATATATATAAAAATATATGTCCGTTAGCACGATAACTCGAGCAAAAATGATCCGATTTTGATGAAATTCGGTACAAACGTGTAAACCTACGTTTATTCGAACGAGTTCGCGATCCAGCATGATCGGACCATGGGAACGGGGGTTTACGGGGGGTTTTATGGGGTAAAAATAGGTTTTTCGCATTTTTGACCCAAAAAACATAAAATTTAGCAATTTCTTTCCAAACCATTTTGTAGAGCTTAAAAAAACAAATAATTTAGTATATTGAAGCGTTATTATGCGCCTAATGGTTACGGAGAAAATTCCAAAAAATTGTAAATTTAAAATTCCCATGTTATTCTTATGGAGAATAAGTAAACTGTTGTAGTTTGCTTGTTTATGAACATATTTTGATCAAATTTGAAAAATGTTTTTATTTCTTACTAACTATTAACATAAAAAAAAACAGTTTTACCTCCCTGATGCAGCAAACCTAAGTACTTGTTAAACTAATTCTATTTAAATCGGGAAAAAATGTTATATTTTTAAGTAGACATTTCAGTGTAAATCAAATGGAAATTCGCTTAGTCTGCAGGTTTGCTGCGGCGGGGGTATTTTTAATTCTCTCCGTAACGGTCAGGCATACAATACCGCTTCATTATACTAAATTATATATTTTTTTTAAGCTCTACAAATTTGTATAGCAAGAAATTGCAAAATGTTATACTTTAACCCTCCATGCTAGTTTATAATGCCCGTTCCCATAGCCCGATCATGCTAATTTGCGAACTTGTTAGAATAAACGTAGGTTTACAAGTTCGTACCAAATTTCATCAAAATCGGACCATTCTTGCTCCAGTCATCCTGCTAACGGACACACACACACACACACACACATATGAATTTGAACAGAGGGTTTTTTTGGCATCTGGGGAACTCAAAACGAAAAGGTAAATTGGTCCTCGGTCCAGGTCTTACCTTCTAAGGTAATAGCTTATTCCCTATAAGGGAAATTCGCTAAAACACCGGAACTGAATAGATTTGGTGATGTATAATGTTTTACATATTCCATAACACAATACGTCAAAAGAAATATGTATTTTGAAAAAAGGATTGGAAGTTACATACTCTGAGAGATTATACAATGTCAGATATCCAACGTGGGTTGTCATCGTCATCTCTTGATCTCTCCTCCTGACTATCTAGCAGGTCCTGCAGAAGTACCTCTGAAGATCGCCTCCTGCGCCCTCTGTACAGTATACAACATACATAATATCATACATTTTATATGAAGATTGTTATTAAAATGCTATAACAAAATAGTCCACCCACTACATATAGTAACAAGAGTTACTATATGTACAACTCTTGTTACTATATGTATATAACAATAAATATAAATATATAATATAAATCCTACTAATATTATAAATGAGAAAGTTTGGTTATATGTATGTATGGATGTTTGTGACAAGTAAACGCAAAAAAATCCTGGTCGGATTGGGCTGAAATTTGGGGTGATGATAGCTCACATTCCCGATTAACATATAGGCATATTGTTATCTCAAAACTCCTTTCAGGCTCCGTCCCAGTGGTTCTGGAGTTTCCCATGTTAACCTTATGTGTATTCACATTTAAAAGGAACTAGTTGTTTGTTACCCACGGGCTTCACCCCGTTTGACTTTTATAAGTATTAATAACACTATTGATTGGTTAAGTTAAGATGAAATAAACTAAACAGAATGCAGTAATACAAACAAATAATTACACCTAAGGTATAGTCAGAGAAATATAGGATAAGACCTTATAAAAATTGCAAGAACGTTTTATGGTTTTATTTTGTAGTGTTGGGTATGCAGAGTGACATACTGAAAGTTGCCAAAAATCGGTCTACGGGAAACTCCCTAAATCACGATTAAAAATGGCAGCTTTTCCCAACATTGGACACATTTAGAAAATACCCCCACCGCAGCAAACCTGCAGACTAAGCGAATTTCAACTTGTTTGATTACATTTTTACTAAAATATTTCCCTAAATAAGACATATTTATTCCCTATTTAAATAACGCATAGATTTAACGAGTGCTTAGGTTTGCTGCTACAGGGAAGGTAAAAAGTTTTTTTACCATACGTCAATAGTATAGAATGAAATAAATTAATTTGCCAAATTTTATCAATATTTAAATCCATAAACAAGTAAACTACAAAATTTTCATTTTCTCCATAAGAATAACATGGGAATTTTAAATTACACTATTTTTGAATTTTCTCTGTGACCGTTAGACATATAACAGCGCTTCACTATACTAAATTATTTCTTTTTTACAAACTTTTGTTCTACATAACGGTTTAGAAAGAAATTGCCAAATCTTTTGTTTTTAGGGTAAAAAATGGGAAAACCCAATTTTTAGCCCATAAAACCCCCCATAAACCCCCGTTCCCATGGTCCGATTATGCTGGATCGCGAACTCGTTTGAATAAACGTAGGTTTACATGTTTGTACCAAATTTCATCAAAATCGGATAATTTTTGCTCGAGTTATCGCGCTAACGGACACGTATATATAAATATTCTTCGCGTTAGCGCGATAACTCGAGCAAAAATGATCCGATTTTGATGAAATTTGGTACAAACATGTAAACCTACGTTTATTCCCTACGTTTATATATATGAATTTGAACGGATGGTGTTTTTGGCCTCTAGGGACCTCAAAATGAAAAATTAAATCGGTCCCGGGTCCAGGTCTTACTATGAGTACTACGGTAATAGCTTATTCCCTATATGGGAAATTTGCTAATATTCCCTATATGGGAAATTCGCTAAAAAGATGCAACATGCATTTTGTATACAAAATTTTTCTAGATATTGACTTGGGACGACCGCCGATGTTTACTGGGTGGCGAGTACTTCAGTTCGATAGGGAACTCATTTTTAGTTAGCCACCATCTTGGATCCGCCATATTGGATATAAATAACAAAAATTCAATGTAATGATAACACTGTGACACATTATAAACTATATTATGACGCTGATTTCAATGCCGAAATCCATTTTTAAATACATGTTTACGTTTTGAAGATATATTCAAACAAAAACTCTCCCTCATATATTTCTTATGGACGTTTCGTACTTTGACTATTTTTAAGATTATTTTTCTTACTAGCTGTGTGCCCGTTCTACGCACGGGGATCTTATAGTAGTCAGTTGAAACCTTCTTATATTAAGATTAAGAACAGCAATTAGTTTGCATATTTGCAGATATGCTGGCAAAACTATTATATATATAAACCTTCGCAAATACAGTATCTGACAGTTCAAGCCAAAATAAATGCTTCGCAATTAAATGTCACCCGGATCATGTTGGTCCATATGTCCAATGATTAAACTTAAAAATGTTTTATAGATCCATGAAGCGTAGCCCTAAAGTAGGCCTATAATTGAAAGTTACTTTCCACATCGGTTAACTTAAACGTATTTAAAGTACTACCTCAACCTCACCATTTAACACTTTACTAGTGTCCCTGTTGCTCGAATTCGAGCAATTGCTAAGTATTACAGGCGTTATTTTAAAACAAACTTCGACCAAGTCAGCAAATATTTGTAGCAAACTGTTTTATTAGCAAACTTATTGACTGTTTACAATTAACCTATGCTCTTCTTCTCACTTTTGATTTCAGCTGGAGTTTCATAACAATATTTGTTTCCCATGTTAATCTTATGGAGAAATAAGAAACTTTAAAGGGCTCCAGGGCCTCACTCTCTCATTATTTCCCTAAAAAGAAAGTTTCCTGCACAACTTCACGCTACGCTCTTTCCAATGACACCAAAAACATGACAATCGGTTCATTAGTTTCGGAGGAGTAATTGTCACAAAAAACCTGCTTGCGTATTAAATAAGTACTAGTGGTCGTCCTGTGGTCGAAACTCGACCAAAAATAATTAATGTACAGACTTCTCTATTTTCTCCCCACACTGTAAATAAAACATGTGATTGGGATTTCTTCCATTTGTTTTGATTTTCTGTTTACATTTTGTTTTTATTTTGTCACCATCATGGCAACCCAGTTGGTCCATGTTAATTTTTTGAAGTTTTCAAATTCGTTTTTTGTCCTATTTTTTAGCCTATTTTAATTTATAAAGGGATTCTGCACATCTACAGGCAAATATCTTTCTAACAGTATGCGTAGATTTCCCCTGCGATGCACACGAGCTGAGAAAAAAGGTTTTAAAGAAACATGCTTGCCTATTAATATATAGATAGATATAGATTCCGGTTGACATTTTCAGTATCAAAGGTGCTCTTGTCCATTCCGTGAAACACTAAAAAATAAGGACATTAATGCGTTACCAACATACAACAAAACAACACAATACAACAACCCAACAAAGGCCACGAACTATTGATACATAAACAATATAAAGGCGTAAACAATTATGGTTTGCCCAACAAATGTTTTACTCAAATAGGTTATCATTTTCTTAGCATACCGGGTAAGCTAAGATTTGGAATCCAGGCAGAAAAAGCAAAACTTATACAGAGTTAAGACATCACTTAAATTGAATACGGACGGCTCTAATAAATAAGGTGCAACACCAACGATATCTAATTTGTAAACTACCGGTTCTAAGGAAAAGAACCAGTACCTACGTAAGAACCTACCTAAGAATTACAGTAAATCGGACCAATTAAATACATTAATATCTAGTCCCGAGGTTATTGATCTCTTGCTTTTGGATTTTCTCGTAAAAGGTTATAGCGTAAACTTATCGGTGTCAGTTTGAAAAAGAAGCAACCTTACCCAAACAACTTTTTGTTATTTAATAGATTACGCATTCTCTAAACAATGATTAGTATATCTATTAACATTAGAAGGAAATGTGACGAAAATCACACAATGTTGGGGGTTTGGTCATTTGTAATTTTATTTTTTAAGTAGGTAGGCCATGTATTCTATGGAAAAGTACCGGTATCAAGGGGTAAGCTAAGATTTGGAATCCAGGCAGAAAAAGCAAAATTTATACAGAGTTAAGACATCACTTAAATTGAATACGGACGGCTCTACTAAATAAGGTGCAACACCAACGATATCTAATTTGTAAACTACCGGTTCTAAGGAAAAGAACCAGTACCTATGTAAGAACCTACCTAAGAATTACAGTAAATCGGACCAATTAAATACATTAATATCTAGTCCCGAGGTTATTGATCTCTTGCTTTTGGATTTTCTCGTAAAAAGTTATAGCGTAAACTTATCGGTGTCAGTTTGAAAAAGAAGCAACCTTACCCAAACAACTTTTTGTTATTTAATAGATTACGCATTCTCTAAACAATGATTAGTATATCTATTAACATTAGAAGGAAATGTGACGAAAATCACACAATGTTGGGGGTTTGGTCATTTGTAATTTTATTTTTTAAGTAGGTAGGCCATGTATTCTATGGAAAAGTACCGGTATCAAGGATCGTCGTCAAAAAGGTTGTTATGAATAAATATGTAGGCTTACGTACCCAAGATATGAGCTATGGGCCTATTGGCTGTATGGTCCAGCGATTGCATCACACGGTGAGTAGAAACAGAAAGTGACACATTGGAAAAGCGAGTTTAGCACTTCCTCTGTTAAACCTCTGTTACAATCACCCACTGCAGTTGTGATTTTTTACTTTACACTTTACACAATCGCCATTGAAGCGCCGTCAATGAGTGGAAACCTTTTTTGTAAGCTATTGGCGACGATCATTTCAGTGTCACAGCCCTATACAACACTGATTCAAGGTATTCTTCTTTCTGGTTGTCAAAACTCAAGAAACATTTTATACTCAAAGAATTTCTGGTTCCGATTTGGACGATGTCTAGTTATTTAATTTCATTTACGGTTACACTATTAGACTATATTATTGCACTTGCGATTAATTAAATCCGTTATGTAAGAAAAACGTTTTTAATCTCACTTGGTTGGGATTTGCTTTCAAAACGTGATTCGAAATAGTTGCGGTATTTGTAAACAACATTTGTAAACATGTCATTGACAGCTAGAAAAAATAATCTTGATCCGAACAGCTGTTCGTTATTTCATAGACGATTATGTGATAAAAATTGAACGAAAATTTGACAAAAAAAATATTTGCTATTGATTGAGCTATTGATAATTAAAAATCGAACGTGTAAGAGACAAGCTACAATCCAAAAAACAATATTAAATTTAACCTTTTAGAAATCTTTTTTTATTAAAAGATTTATATCTCGAGT